ATATTGTTCTTCCTCCACTCCCCTCCCATCCCCTTGTTTCCCTCAAAACTAAACCGAAGTTAGAGATATCGGTGAGATTTTTTAAAAGTGTTAAACTTCTAGACTATTGAAGCAAAGATCAAGTCCATTGGCATCAAAATCGGTTTTAGTCAATGTTGCTGAAGTCAGCTATGAGATTTTAGCAAGGATCAAGGGATATAACACTAGAATTTGCTCAAGTTTGAGTACAAATACAAGTATTCATAGCCTCATTCAGCAAGCTTGACCCTCTCATCAACCAACCCTGTGCTACCTTTTAATTTTGTCATATCTTGACACTATAATCCAATTCAGAGGCCTTGTCCTCTTAACACAACTCTTCAACAATATCTTATTAAGGTCACTTGACTGATAGGGTTCGAGATCAATTCCCGTATCTCATTATTGTAATTGTTTTGTATAGGATTCATCCTTTGCTTTCTAAGGTTCAACTTTGACTTCATTTGAGAATGTTGCACTATAAATATGGTAACTATAAATTATTTGATTTTTAATAACTTAAAAATATATAATATTTTATAAAATTTTCAAGTAACAAAAAGACAAAGAACCAAAAGTTAAAACATTAAGGTTGTGTTTGGAAACTTAAATTTGAATTTGATGAGTGTAATTAAAATATATGTATTTAAAATACATGTAATTTAAATACATGTATTTTAAATACTTATTTTTTTTTTAGATGAATCAAATATTTTAAATACTTATTAAAATTTGACAGTTTCAATAAATTAAACTATTATGAATTTAAAATTGAATTGATGTTAGTCTCTTTCATTAAGGCATTTTCACAAACACTTTGTGTACGGTCTTTGTTGCCCATGTTATTACCCCTATTTTTCTCCCTTTGTTTGAAGTAATGTGTCAAAATTTAAAATAAAGTTGTTACTTTAGTTGTCACACATTAATATCACAGAAAAGACTACCAACACTCTGTCCTCTTTGTATTCCCATCTTCTCTGACAAAGCCCACTTCCAATAGGCCAAAAAATTTGCCTCCAACAAACTGTCTGAGTTTGACCTAGACAAACAGAGCAACAAAAATGAGGGGAGCATAGAGTTTGGAGATAGAATAGACAATTTTGAATGTGAACGTTGGAGCTTCATCAAAGATAAACTATTTTATGGCAAAGGAAGATGTAGAGAATGAGTAGAGAATTTGAAACCCACTATAAAATTCATGGGTATGAGAGGGAATTTAAAATCTGCGCTTTTCAAACTTTGAAATTCATAAGTTAAAATACGTGTATTTAAATCAAAATTCAAATACACTTATATTTGGTAAAGACAAACAGTAAATGTGATTTTATAACCCCAAATTCAAATACACTCATATCAAATTTACATTCCCAAACGTACCACAAAATATTCCAAATGAAACCTTCATGCATTCTAATCTACAAATTTGTTAACAACACTTTTCAGACATGTCAATGCTATTGGTTTCATTTTACTTAATACAATTTTGTGACTTTTAGTTTTGTAAAGTCTTATTTACTTCCAAACTCTTTTAGTTAACTATTAATTTAATTATGAAGATTAATGCAAAATTATCTATTTTGCCAATAGCTTAAATCTGGTTTGTTGATTTAGTTTATTATTATTGTTATTATTATTATTATTATTATTAATTATTAAATCTACAAGTTTACTTCCAATTTGTTAGCACAAGTTCCTTTGGTATGTCTCCTATTACTTGTTTTCCAAGATTGTCTAGTGCAGCCTTATTTCTTTAATTGTTATGAAAA